ATATACAGTTAAATATACAGGGTGAGACATTTATATACAGTTAAATATACAGGGTGAGACATTAATATACAGTTAAATATACAGGATGAAACTTTTATATACAATTAAATATACAGGGTAAAACTTTTATATACAGTTAAAGCATATAAATGATTTGTATTGTATTTACAGGGTGAACCAGTTACATACAGTTTTTTACATTTTATGACACTTTTCTATCCAGCTTACTTAAGATTTTTTTGTTGACACTTTTTACTGTTATACATTAAAATTTAAAGTAAATTGTAAAATTAATAAAAATATTATACGTAAATTATCCATCTGAAAATGAACATACGAGGGGTGGGGGGATATTTAAACCGCCCGAGGGTCAGTTTCTCCTAGTTTCCTTCTCCGTACGATACCCTGCTCTGCCCCGTTCACATCACCGGAAATATATCCGTCCTCAACACCGTAAAATTACTTTAATAGCGGAGCAACCTTTCCCTCATCCTCCTTTTCCTCATCTTTCCCCCGTCCCTCCCCGGCCCTTCCTCCCACCCCTGAGCATCATAATCTTTATCCACGCACGCCCTGATATAATAACATCCTGTGATTGATTATTTTATAATTTTCATATTTAGCCTTTTTTTAGTTTACAGGAGTTGGGGAAGAAAGCAGATTTTTTGCATCAAAATAAGTATTAATAGAACTAATTAATTATAAGCTGACTTTTAAATTAATTATAAGCTGAATATTGCTTACATTTTTATTGTTACAAAAATTTGATACTTTTCCTGGATCAACTTATTTAAGTGCAAAGAATTTATTCCTGAAACAAAATTAATTATCAAAAGGCTGATTATAGATTTCTTTAAAATAGCAGGTTTATGAAATTGGAGATTACGAGAGTGAATAATAAATACATCTTATATCATTCATAGCAAAACAAATTTAAACAATGCCATTAATATATGTAGTATATGTATGTATATTACATGTGTGTGAACAAATCTTTAATAATAATAATACCTATTATTATATAATAATAATATATTCGGCGATTTTCGAATAAAACATAGGCTAATAGGAGGTTAATGATTTCCAGGGGGTTTACAGACCCAAAAGAAAAGACAAAAAATGTAAACCCCTCCGGAAAAATTTCTGTTTACGCCCCTGACTGTAATGCCATTCCTGAATCAATTCTTCGATAATTTTACTAAGAAATTCATGAATGAATGAGCAAAATGATCTTAAGGGAGATTTTAAAAAAATTTAGGACATAACATCTTTTCAATATTTTGTTTCCGCAATTATTTAAAAAGGTATTGACCTCAAATCCGCAGATGTAATTTTTTGGTGGGAATATCCCCCCGGCCCCCTCACCCTTAAAAACCAATTTTGTAAAATTACTAATTTCCCTGAAATGAATCTATGTTCCCCTAAAACATATAAATATTCGCCTGATCTGTGTATTTTCATACCTAACGTGAGAATTTTCTCAGTCCTAATTCATTATAAAGTTTATTTAACAGTTTAAAAAAATTCGAAATTGAAATGAATAGTCTAGGGAACATACTGTATTAATGTACTCTACTGCATATAATTTGTAAACATTTACATGATTTGTACACTTTGAACTCCCTTTCAGGCTTAAAGGGACTGAAAAAATTCATACCGAGAGATTCTTTTAATTCCTCTCTATATAGTCTATTTTCTATGGATACAACCCCTTGTATAAACTGTAATGCGGGATAAGCATAATGAAGCAAAATTTAAATTCAGTAAAACTTGGCTGAAAAATATAAAATACAAATTTTACAATTTTCAAATTTCCTTTCCCTTAAACTTGAAACAAATATATTAACATTTTTTTCTGAACACTTATTTTATGAACTTGGTATCAGGAAAAATTATAGGAAAATTTTTAAAAGGAATTATGATTGCATGAGAATTGTTGTTAAAACAAACAAGTAAATATTCAAAATTTATAATTTGTAATTGTTTGGGCTGGTTTTCGGTGTGTTTCTTTTTGTTCACATTTATTATTCATTTTTTATCAACTTACTCTTGGGTTCTTCTGAAATTGTCAAAACTAAAAAGAAGTTTTAAATGTTATATTAGTGAATTTATAAAGAATAGAGGATAGTGTCCGACAAAGTGTATGCATATCCCTGTGAGATGGTTTCTTTCATATTAGACTCTTGGTTTAATGAACGTAACCTAATTCTTCCCTCCCTTCCCCAAATTGCTCCGACCCCTCATTATCCCGAAACCCCTGTCATTTATCCTTTCAGAAAATATTTTGAGTACTTTATCGGTTGGATATTATCTATCTTCATCGGTTGGATATTATCTATCTTCATCGGTTGGATATTATCTATCTTCATCATCGGTTGGATATTATCTATCTTCATCGGTTGGATATTATCTATCTTCATCTGTTGGATATTATCTATCTTCATCGGTTGGATATTATCTATCTTTGGCAAAAAATTTGTCTTCTTTTTTTAGAGGATTTCTTTTCAATTAAATTGAAAAATTTCACACTCTACTTTAGAATATACCTAGTTTACGCTACTCTCTTGTAAGAAAGCCTTAGTGAATATCTGTATAAGATCCCCCCTCTCCCTCCTCCCCCTTGATCCTTATCCATCCTATTAGATTTAGTCGGACAGTTCTGTGATTGGTCCAAATTATCCTCCTGTCTCCTGATTGGTTGAGTCGGTAAAAGCACCGTGAAAGCAGCGGTGTTTAACCCTCTGGGGAAAATGTTTAGTAATTGACAGTCCCCCCTCTAGTCAACACGGTTTACAATATGTCGGGGCATGATAGACATTTTTCTCCTTTACTTACATCTTACATAGCCAGAGGTAGACAAGTATTCAATTAAATTAAACTAAAATATGTTTCCGAGCTATTAAACGAAAACTTTTAGGAGTTATGGGGTCGCAAAGGAAGTGAGTTCTTACCTCAAAATAAGTTTTTCTATTACTTAAATCTTTTCAACTTGATAGTTCAAATCTTTAAAATTTTTAAAACTTAGACTATTCAATCTAACAGAATTCATAGTTTTTAATAACAAGAGGCTATAACATCGAGTTGCAAAAATTTGTTTACTGCAAGAACTTAGTGTCTTTGTATCAGTCAGTATTCACGCATAAATAGGCTCCTTCTTGATGTTTAGATTGGAGTAAAATATTATCAATCACTCAAAAAATTATTTTAGTTCTTTGCTTGGATTAAGAGTTAAAAAAAAGAATATGTAATGATAATAAAAGTTGATAATCAAGAATCTGTATTAGACTTAATATTTCTTTTCTTGTCCTTAGATTTAGTGATTTGTATGTTTTCATCAACGAGGTTATAGTTTTCATTTTTCCTCTTTTAATTTTATGGTTTCCGATTTTTATAGTTAAGTATTTCTGAGTATAACTTGCTTTCATTGGTATTTAAATATACTAATATGTGAAGTTTAAGACCTAGGAAAATAAATAAATTTTTACTTAAGCTTGTTCTGCTTTACTTGATTACAAACATTGGCTGACCAAAGATCATGATTTTGTCTCAAAATATTACTTTATTAAACTTTGAAAACTAATTCTATCTTTTTTCAGTTCGAGCGATGATGTGGAGTCAACAGCATCAATCCTTGTTCCAAGATCTCTACCGTCATCCTTCTAACTACTTTCCAGCCCTCCCCTCCTCATCCTCCTCAGCCACACCCCTTCAACATTACCAGCATATTCCTGAAGATCTCAACCAGTCCCTCCCTTCAACTCCGTCCAAGTCGGAGCCGACCTCTCACAGAGAAATGTCTCCGCAGGAGAGCGAGGGCGGGGAGGATAAACCGTTCAACTGTGCTTATCCTAAATGTGCTTACGTTACAAACCGGAGAAACAATCTCAAGCGCCACATCTTAACCATGCATGAGAGATTGAGTTCTCCCCACTTTTGCTGTGGAATCACATTCTTCCGTAAGGCGGATATGCGGATTCATAATAAAGAATGTCACAAGAACGGGTATGTTTGCTCCTGGCCGAATTGCGGGAAACATTTTCTCCGTAAAGCTTTGTTGGATCGGCATGTTAAGATTCATACCGGAGAGAAACCCTTCATTTGCTCCGTGTGCAGTTATGGTACCAGCCACAAATCCAATCTTGATCGACATATCAAGATACATTTCAAGTCTACGTCTCCAAATGCATACATGGAGATGTACGATGCGTACAAAACTAATATATTGACGCAGAGCGGTTGGGGCGGATATCCGGTATCTAAACTTCAACCTGAGCATCTCTCATACTGGCAGAAACAGGATCCGGAGCTAGATTTACCAATGCCTGATAGCACCACGGAGTCAAAACCATCCCCGGTGGATTCAAGCTTAGATCCCAATTGTCCCCCGTCCCCAAGGTTGCACTCTTTACTCCAGACTCCGGAGAAGAACGGATTCCAAATCCCATTTCCGTCCTGTGATCTCTCCTCAATCTCTTCCATCCTGCTGAGCCCTATCAAAACGGAACGAGGACGGGATTCTCTGGATGCCTGGTGGGTTAAGGAGGAGGAAATGAACGGAGCTAACTACTCCAGGTCTATGCTGCAGAGGGAGCAGAACAAGGTTTCCCACACAATCAGCAATATTCTTGGGATCATCTAAACCTTTGGAAATTTAAAAGTTGTTCTTCCCAATTTATCAACATTTAAAAAGGGCTTGTTAATGAATTTTAAAAGAGCTTGGTTCATTCGGTAATATTTTTATTTTGATCCGATATATTTTAAATTAAACTTTCTGTATCTGCAACCTATTCCAAAACTGCCCGAGAAATAGGGGGGGAATTTTCTACGAGTGACCTAGCAATGCAAACTTCACTGACTGCAGAACAAGGGAAGTAAATCAAAATGTATATTTAATCATGAAACTGTACGGTGCAAAGATATTAAATTATCTTGAATTAAATTTAACATGTTTTGTAAGAGCTTTAATAAAGTATTATTGTGTTTTGCGTATATACGTTTTGTGACTTATTTCTAGAGAATATTATATAAAATGCAGTATCTGTAAATAAGTTCAATAAAAAAATTTCAAAAAATTATTTATTTCTAGAACTGTTAGAAAATTTTAAAACGTGAGACTTCAAATTCAAAAGATGACAAACCATTGTAAATTTTTATATTTCTTCTTTGGGTAAAAAAGAAAGAAAATGAGAATTTATTTTTTCTCCCAATAGTTTTTAATTCTGAAATAAAACATCTTTAATAGATAATTCTTATTACAAAATCAAAAAATAAAACTTTTTAGTGAATTTTTCTCGCGTGTTACACATTAAAATGGTGAAACAGAGTTTCAAGTCTGGAGTTTGAACTGAAAAGGGTTAATTTTAACTGGTTTCATATAAATAAACAATGAAATTTAACAACCATAAATTTTTTCATAAAGCAAAACAGAAATTATTTGTTTAATTTTATTGCTGTACAAGTCAAATTTTTCGTGTTTTAACACTCCTCCTTATAATAGGATCAGTGTTTGAATGTTTGTGTGGAAAAATGTATGTTACCTATACTGCCGGCGTAACCGTAACATAAATAAAAAATATAGGGTAACAGCTGAAACATCTATTTAAGAGTCGTTGCCAAGAAAAAGGGCGATTTTTAACAACCACGGGCAACACTGGGTACCTCTGCAAGTATTTCGTATTTCCGACCTAATCCTGAGTATAAAACTAAAACTATAGGTTTCGCTATAACATTAATCGGATTAAGAATAAGCAGGGGGTGTTATGTAAAAGAGGGGGATGGGGTCAGGGATTGTAAAGGGGGGGGCGGGGGTTTGTGGCCCGTGCTTTCACCAGGGGGTCTTTGTCCCATTGTAACCATTCACATGATTCTAATTTATCACTGCCCCCGTATCAAGGGAGAATACTTTCCACAAAAAGGTTGAATTACCTAACACAATTTTAATGAAAGAAAACTTAAGATTTGAATCAGAATTCAAAAATAACGATTTTATTTCTAATTCCCTTAGTTTAAAGAGTATGGATGCTCTTATAAAGCAAACCTAGATTGGATGAGTTGGCTACGGAGCACGTTGAAACGTCAATTTCTAGAAATAAATACTCTTGCTGACGAGGTGACCTTAAAGTCTTCGACAAAGCAAAAACTATTAAGATATTTATGTTTTCCATCTAAAAATTGATTATTGTTCATTTGCGAGTTATGTATTGAAATTTTTAAAGAAAAATCCCCGAATGCATATATTTACTTACGAGTCCAGGGGTGTACGAGAGCATTTTTTGTGCCCCCCCCCCCTTGGCAACATTATGCCCCCCCCCCCTTAAAAACCCTTGTTTTGAAAAAATATTTATACCTTTTTTAACTATGTAAACTATTCGATCATATACACACTTCCATATAACAGTGTTAATAATTTTTTATGTAATTTTCTTAAGTGGACTCATCAAACACTTCCTCTTAATACTGTGGTGTAAGCTTCAATGGGTTAAAAAAATGGAGATGGAAACGTTTATTGAAAAATATCTATATTTTCATAGAAACGATGCATATTGTATAATTATAAATAATGATATCAAAGATAAATTTACACTGAAGGCATTATTGATTGATTAAAGCTTTTTTAATGAATCTTTTTTAGTTAATAGCAAAACTGAGAGTTTAAAGTATTTTTATATGGGGTGGGGATCTTCATAAATCATAATTGCTTACAAATTGTTTTCAGGGCATCGTTGAAAATCGGACATGTAACTCTTTCAGTTGAAGGTCACTTGAAATTACATTGACAGCCCCTTTATTCCAAAATATAAAGAACGTCCCATATAATTTTCTCCAAGCTTTAACGTCCAAATACGTGTAGAAAACATAAAGTATCCTGTATTTCTGCTAATTTTTAATAATGGCATTTGCCAAGAAAATTTGTTAATATTTTGAATTTTCTGGTATGTTCTAAAAATCTCAACTTAAAGCTGTGCACGATCCAATATGATGTTGGACGCCTTGTAGTTGGTTAATTGTTATTTCTAACCATCATTCAGGGGTATTTATTTACATGAAAAGGAATTTTTCTGATATCGGTTGATATATATATGCAACATTTTTATTCCAGCTAAAAAAAATTAATGCTTACCCAGACCTTAAAGCATAATAATACAAAACAATGCTATGCAAATATAGAAATCAAATTTTAAAAAAAACAATGGACCTGAGTTCTTGCAACAAACTCTGATTTCCTGTCCCTGTATCGTTCCCAATGTCGGAAACCTTTGATCTTTTAAACAGTAGAATTCTGTTCGATCAAATAATTTAAGTTTGAAATATCAAAGGTTTACACCATCAGGGATTACAAATTTTAATTTAAAACTCAGTTCCTTTGTTCTTTCTCGTTGATTTATATTCAAACCCCTCTTAAGAGGCCGCTTTAAAATCTTTTAGAATTTTTTATTGTGTTTTTATATATACTTTTTGTAAGTTCTATTTTTGAGAAAAAAAAATAAAATAGTCAATTTTCAGCTAGACGAATAAAGATATCTCATTCATTCTTGATCAGATAAAGTTTATAAGGGTATCGTTTTAAATCGGAAATATTCTTTAAATCTAGAAATTATGTCTAAACCATTCCTTTAATAGGTGTACGTTATTGCGACAGTAGAATAAATAATTGATTGATCATCTAATTAAAAAATCTAAAATTATGTTGCAAATATTTGCAATTCTTAAAAAATTAAAAGCTTTAATCTTCTACAAACACGGAGTAAATTGTGATCGCATAATCGTGCTACTAAATATTGATGGTCAGAGTTTAACAATTAATTTTATTCACGCAATTCACGCCATTCACGCCCCAATACCGGTGAATATTCACCATTTGTTTATAATTGTTATTCTGAAGTGTGGAAATACAATACATTGAAAGGGGGAGGATTCCATCAGTCACTCCCCTGCAAACACTTCTGTGTGTATGTAACAATTAAATTGATAAACCCCCAAATGTTCGAATAGACCATCTGAATATTATCACATAACATATATTTATGGTCAATTACAAACCAAACCATATTTCATAATTTCAATTATACAAACCAATTCTTTAAAATGAATTAAAGGGGATTAGCACCTTTAAGTTTCATTTTCTTATATAGATAAAGATATAGATAAAGAACGGCAATTTTATGTTCATACTTAATGCTTTTTTAAAACCACAAGAAAATTTAAATTTGAGGTCGGGAACATTTAGTTGCAGATAGTTTTTTTTAATGGTGATACGCAAAGCATAAACAATATATTTCGGTCTGGGTTGACCGTAGATATTGATTTATCTATATATGACCTATACATAGATAAAAACCCTCTTCAGCTCTAATTAATAACCATCAAAATCAGGGCTCAGTTTCATTTGCCATAATATTTTTGCCATAATTACACTTGACATAATACTTTTGCCATAAGTAACACTTGCCATAATGGTTACACTTGCAATAATTACACTTGCTTTAATTACTTTTGTCATAATTTTCTAATTTTTAAAAAGATGTAACTCTGTCTTTTTATTGTGAATGCGAGAAATTTTCCCATGAAAATTCCCAACTTTAGTTTTCTCATTGTTTTAAAACAGAACAGTTGACACAAGTTCAGCTCCATATTTTCTCACAATGGAGGACCGTTTGGTGACCTTTGAGACCACAAGTAAGGGTTCGAGACAGCAACAACTACACCTATATGTAGCCAATACCTCGTCTATAGAAGTTAAATATTGGAAATGTTCGGTTAAAATGTGCTCAGTTAGAATTCGAACCCAAATTCGAACTGTCTCTGAATTAGATTTGTAATTTGTATTTAATTTGTAATTAAAAAAAGTAAATACATACATGTTTGTTAATTCTAACCAAATTTAACTTTAATTTTGGCAGGTGTAATTATAGCAAGTGTCATTATGGCAAGTGTAACCATTATGGAAAAAGTAACTTATGGCAAGTGTAATTTATGGCAAGTATTACTTATGGCAAATGTATTATGGCAAATGTAATTATGGTAAAAATATTTATGGCAAAAATATTATGGCAAATGAAACTGAGCCAAATAATAAAAAAATGTTAAAGATTAGCAAGAAAATTAGCAAAAACAAAATTATCTATGCACATTGGTGTTGTATAACCCTTTGATATTTCAAATTATAAATTCTGTTAGATAAAATGGCCAAAGGTTATAAAATATCAAAGGTTTACAACAGCAGGTGCAAAGATGTAGGATTTAGCAAATTAGAGTTAGAGGCGAGTGTTCAGTTCATTCGAAAAAGGTACACAATATTTTAGGAATAAAAATAGTTGATTTAGTGTCTGTGTAACTGCATGAATTCTGAGTCTTTATTTTCTACCATATTTATATTAGTACTTAAATGCATTGAACATATGTTTGGTATGCAGTCTATCTATATACATTGTCTATCTATCTATCTATCACATCACACAAATAAACAATGTTAATAATAATGAATGTAATTAAGAACAGAATCGAAACTAATAGCATCAGTAACTGCTGCTCATAAAATGGTAATTATTAAAATTATGTCAGTAATTAAACCCTAATAAGCAAGAAAATAGTTATTATTGATGGTTATATATTTTTATATGTAATATTCAAAGAAATAAATCAATTTTCATTTTTTTGTGTTNGGGATTTTTTTTACACAAAAGGAGGGAAAACTTCAAGTTTTGGGGTTTTATGGATAGAATTTTATTGAAAAATGGGTGATTTAAATTTTTTTTTGATGGCCAGTTTTTTTCCAACTTTCGCCCTCCCAATTCCTCAAATTAAAACATTTTCAAATTTATATATATAATCTCTTTGTGTGTCAGATTATAAATCCGGAACCCATCGACCGATTTGCCTCAAATTTGGATTGGAGAACAACGCGAATGTTCTTAGCTTGATTTTAAAATTCAAAGTTGAGTGAGTTGACTTTTTTAAATCTTTATTGATCTCCCAGGATGCTTTTACAACATTGCATATCTAGAGGTCTAACCAAGTCCCAAATGTCCTCAAAAAAGTTTTATGCTCCTGATAGAGTCCCAAAATTCGAAAATGGATTTCAAAAGATACACAGAACTCGTCTTGACATATGTATAAGTTACACAAAAAATAAGCATATTAAGCAAACTATACTTCATTGAGTTATTTTGAAAGCTTTTTGCAAAGGAATTGAGTTTTTGCCACAAACTAAAATCTTCTGATTTCAATATCTTTGCAATCTTTTGATGAAAACCTTTGATATTTCAAACTTAGATTATTTTATCCATAAGTATTAATAGTTTGAAATATCTAAGGTCTACGACATTGGGTTACAAAGATATAGAGATTAGAAAATCAGACTTTGTGGCAAAAAATCAACTCCTTTACGAAATTTAATATATATGTGTATACAAATTTAGGTACTTTTGAACTCAAACCAGAACAACGTCATAGGACTTTCTAAAGTTTTTAAAGACCTACAGAATTGCTCGCAAAAAGTAAACAAAAATCTTGCAAAACAAAATTAGTTGATTTTACAAATATTTCTTGTTAAGATAGACGAATCCTGAACCTTCATAATAAACATGCCCATGGCATGTAGATTTTTATAAACCTATTTGTTGTCTGGGAAATTGTATTTTATTGTAGAAATATTGTAAAATTTCTGATTAGTTTATTTATTATGTTATTTAGTTATTTATCTATGGCATATTTTTGGATTAGCAAAGATTTTACTTCTCAAGACGATGTGCTAAATGTTGTTCAATCTTTTTCTGCAGTTCGATTCAACGGTAAAGTTGTTTCCATCCTTGTCAAATCTTTTATTTTGCCATTAAAAAACTTTATTCAATGCTTAGGACCAGATTGTTTCCTTATAAATATCATAATATTGAGGGTTCGTTCGTTTGGATTAATGTCAATTAGGGCTGATGCATACAGCAGGCCCGTAGCTAGAAATTTAGAAAGCCGGGGGAACAAAAAGAAAAGTGCAAATTGTAATTTGTTCATGTAGGAGGGGCGCACCACCAGTGACTTTTTTTTTACCTGAAAACATGAGAAAATGTTTAGATTTATGAATCGACAAAAAAATAGACTTTTATCTTTTTACACACAATATTTTATTGTCATACATTAAAAAACCATGTTCAGAATAGATATTTTGATTATTATTATTATTATTGTTATTATTATTATTATTTAGTTTTCCAAAATTGTAATTTATAAAACGACACCTGAAACAGAGGCGGCTTATGGGGGGGGGACGTACCACCTGAAAAATTGGGGTGACGTCCCCCCTGAAAAATTGGGGTGACGTCCTCCCCTTGGAAAAAAAGATAGGAGCACAAGAAAAGAGAAACACCTTCTGGTCCTTTAATTTCTATTTTTAAGAATAGTGTAAAAATAATAAACCCCATGTTAAGGTGAAGTGAACAGAAACATGTGAAGAAAACCAGACACTGATGAGCTCTTGGAACTTTGAAGAACCTTTTGTGATTCACCACTCACAATTTTTAAAAACTAGAAGTAAAAAACTTATTTTATTCTTAAATATTTGAAGTATTAATGTTTCAGAGTGATTATGCAAGGATAATCGACATAAGTTTTGGATATTCTTCCAACCTTAAAGGTCAAAAAAAACTTTTATAAACATTGATAAAATAGAGTAAATTTGAGCATTAAAATTTGAGCATAGTCCGAAAAAGGCAAAAATTAAACATTTTAAAAACTGTGCAGGTTGAAGTGATAATGAGGACTGATCGGTATTTAAACAAGAAGGATCAAGGACTCAACTGAGAAAGGATTCGGGATCCACCTAAAAACGGATCAAGGATTCAACTAGTCAAGGATCAAGGAATCAACTAATCAAGGATCAAGGACTCAACTAATCTAGGATCAAGGACTCAACTAACCAAGGATCAAGGACTCCACTAAACAAGAAAAGCATCATTTAACAGGAGAAGTCTAGCCTGGATGTTGCAAACGTAAGTCCTTGTGTGATTATGTATTAATGTTCTAAAAAGTTAAAGATCCTCTGCATTTTAATACTGTTCAAACAAACTAAAGATTCCTTATTATGCATTAATTTTAAACTGATTAAAAACTTAATCAAAAGAAAAATCTAAATATTTTAAACTCTAACCTTTTTTCTAGATTGGCAAATTCTAGGAAGGATATATTTTAAACATAAGTATGTAAATCGTTGTTGTATAAAGATTTTAATATTATATTATTTAGGTTTTTTGATCGCTCAAAAACTTATAATTCCAGATGAGCGCATATGAAAAATTGGCTTTAAAAATGGCAGGCTGGTCATTCTGCGGATAAAATATCAAGAAAAGGTGGGATATTTTCACAAATAGATTCCAAAAAAATTTTGCCTGTGGCGCCACTTTTTCACTTCAAATCAAGTTTTTTTTTTCTTATAAACATTAAAATCTCGCTGACACACTTTACACCTTCCACCCCCCCCAGCTGGCCATGGTTTGGAGTTTGGACCCTGTTTGGACATACAATTGACTAAATTCCCCTGTAAAAAATTCCAGGGGGCGGAATTCTTTGCCAGGGGGGAATTTGGCACGCGCACTAATTAAATGAGTTGCCCCCCCTTGAAGATATCACAAGCCGCCCCTGTTCCCCCTGTCCTGCAATCCGCAGTATGAGTTCACAGAAGTTCTTTAATCTATAATTTCAATTTGTCTCCATTTTTCTATTTCTAGTTCCAAGACAAAAGTTGAAAAATATCATAAACTTATTGAAAGAATGGAAAAAAACAAGTTTAACTTTCAGGGGCGTACGTACGAGAACATTTGTGTAGGGGGGGGGGGGGGGGTGCACATATTTGGGCACTTCCATATTACAAGTGTTACTAAATTATTTATGTAATTTTCTTAAGTGGACTCATCAGACACTCTCTCTTAATACTATGCTGTATCGGGTATCCCGTGTAAACTTCAAGAGGTGAAAGAAAATAGAGAATGAAACGTTTCTTTAAAAATATCTTTATTTTCATAGGATCGATAAATATTGTTTTATAAATTAAATTGAAGTCAGTATTGATTAAAGCTTTTTTAATGGAACTTTTTAGTTAGGGGCAAAAGTGAGATTTTAAAGTATTTTTTATTATACGATGTAATTATACTTAAATGGAATACCTGCGTAATTTCAAGTGACCCTCCGTTTATAGAGTGGCATGTCCGATGTACATTTGAAACCTTCATTTCTCCATCGTTTCCATGCGTCACTTTTGCAGAGAACCCACAAATAAAAATAATCAGTTTTCAAAATACATATGAATAAAACATTCAATGCAATACTTGATCAGACAAAACTTTGAAGGGCAAGGGCGTATTTATAAGTTTTTTTTTTTGCTACAGTTCGATTTTAAAAATTCCACGGGCAACGCCTGGCACTTCAGCTAGTTTGTATTTTGTAATAAAAAGACCTGTAATATAGATTTTTGAGTTTTTTTTCATTAACGTCCCTCTCTCTCAGTATCTAAAATACAAAGACGATTGCTACACCTATGCATCAGAATTAAGATTTTGTTGCGGCAACTCTGAAACAAACTGCGCTTTCGGTAACAGTGACACAATTTCTACAAAATTTAACTCACTTAAAGAAATTTTCGATAGAACTCAAGGAAATTCTAAAGTTTACTCGATTGTTGAACATTTTAATAATTATTAATTTATTAAAGAAATTATCCGAAAAAATTTTCTTAGCTGCGGCGGACATAACGAGAAAACTTATAATATACGTAAAAAATTCATTTTAGCCTTACGATGGCTTCCAGCTCTCATGGGAACTTTGATTCTTTTTACAAGGAGTTGAAGCAGGTTCGTTTTTACATTTATAACGAAAATTTAATATATTTATGTATATATATATATATATATATATATATATATAAAATCGTGCAATATGAATTTACCAATTTCTAAACATCAAATTGTAAGGTCGGAAAATGGTTTTATATCAAAAATATTTATAATTTTTATACAGCGGTACATTTTGAGCATCAACATGATTTTTATTAGATTCGAATTTCGACAAATACTAAATCCTCATTATTTCTCAAATTTAACTTCCATGACAAGCGGTTTCTTATATGATTATTTATAAAATTATATGTTCATCCTGAAACTATTAAGGTTGAGGCCCAAGATTCAACTCTGACCTCCGTACAACAGATTGATCGATTACTAAAGCCAGGATACACTTACAGGTAGGGTCACATGTAACTATACATTTACAATTGGAAGTATGATATCATGTTGTAGAAAAAATTCCATACTGTAGAATGTATACTGCATGGGAGTGTTTATTTTTCTGTATATCATAATTTATCTGTTACACTGATTATTGATATTTACATCTTTTAACACCCCATATACTGTACATGCACACACAAATCTTGCCAAAAAACTCAATGACACAGAGAGTGTATTTTCATGCCCCAAATGTATTCTCAATCCCGATCCCACTTGGGATCAGAAATGAAATTCTATATAAATATATTTTTTACTCATTTACTTGTAGTTATTTGGGTTCGGAGGGTTATGATTTAAAATATCTCGGCTGATTATTTGTATTACTTTTCATGTGATTTTATTTGAACCTAAAAATAAAACTACTATTATTTTTCATGAATCAAAAACTGTTAATATCATCTAAATTCCTTGTAAAATTACGAACATCAAGTGAATATCCACATAATTGTTAGTTGACCCGTTTTAGGAAAGAGTGCGTTAGCAAATTTTGCAAGTCTATTATAAACCTTGATTAATTTAAGAAAACTAGACATCGTCTTTTTTCCAATCTGGAATGGCTAAAATCTCAACAGTTTTTCTCTTAATCGTCTGTGCTGTAGAATACCGCTCGTTCCAGAAAGCAACCATGGGTTGTTCATTTCTGGAATGAAAAACTAGGATATCACTTTCCGATGAAGAAATGGTTAATGGGTTAGTTATACCAGGGAGTTTCATTGACTATTTTGTAATAATTGGGTATTTTTTTAGAAATCTGAATCCGTTTGAGGTTCTCCAGGTGGATCCAGACCTAGGGATTGATGAGATAAAGAAAAAGTTCAGGGTAAGACTTTCAGAATATTTGATACCGTTTGACAAAACTTATTGACCAAGGTTTGTTTTTAAAATCAAACCAAGTGTGCGAGAATTTTCCTAAACGAGATAAATTTATTCCCGTGCTGGAATAAGAAAGAAAGAAAAACAAAGCAAAAAACAGAAATTCCGACTTGAAAAGTTTTCATAATACACAATTCTTTTAAACTCGTTTTAATGTAAAAAAATGTCACTACGACTTTGTTATCACAAGTTTCATGTTCTTTTTCATAATTTGTATTTTCTGTTGTGAATGCTGATAAACTTTTTTTTCTTTCAGAGATTGTCAATTCTTGTCCATCCTGATAAAAACCCCAATGATCTGGAGAGAGCTCAGGTAATAAAACTTAAATATTTTCTTCAAAAATGTAAAGAAGGTTCTTTGGTCAAATTTGGACCTGAACAGACACGCTCGTTTCTAGATAAAAATAAAATTATAATTTATTTATTTTGGTATTTTTTATTCCCATTTTTCTTTTTGTGTATTTTGATGATTTGAAAATGATTTAATGTAAAATATTAATTTATTTGCATTCATATTTTTGAACATTTCATCAAGTGTTTTCATTGATTTCATCAGATATACTAAGATAATCTCGTTGATTTTAAATTTTTCTTGCAGACTGCTTTTGATGCTGTAAAGCGTGCATGGAGTACCCTGGAGGACAAGGATACCAGGAAGGGAGCTCTGGAGGTCGTTGAGGAGGCCAAGGGTAGAACAGTGTAAGTATTTAAACTATAATGAAATCAATGGAACCAGGATGCGCTACAAATATCACATATTAAGGGAAAATTTCAGGTGTTACTGTTAAATTATTTTAATACCAATATCTTCTAAAGTATTGTATAAATCCTAAATATTGACAATTATATTATCATTGTATAAATATGGTAGAGAAGAGGAGAAGTATTGTATAAATCCTAAATAATGACAATTGTATTATTATTGTTAGGATGAATATGGAAGAAAAGAGAAGTATTGTATTAACCCTAAATAATGACAATTATATTATTATTGTTAGGATGAATATGTAAGAGAAGAGGAGAAGTATTGTATAAATCCTAAATATTGACAATTATATTATCATTGTATGAATATTGAAGAGAAGAGGAGAAGTATTGTATTATCCCTAAATAATGACAATTGTATTATTATTGTTAAGATGAATATGTAAGAGAAGAGGAGAAGTATTGTATAAATCCTAAATAATGACAATTGTATTATTATTATTGTTAGGATGAATATGGAAGAGAAGAGGAGCAGTATGGTATAAACCCTAAATAATGACAATTGTATTATTACTGTTAGGATGAATATGGAAGAGAAGAGGAGAAGACTGAAGCGTGAAAATAAACCCTGTGTAGTCGACGAGGATGATCCGATCAAGTTCAAGATTGCCGTCAATATCCTCACCATGAAACTATTCGCAGATCTGGAGAGAAAGTAAGCAGATTTGTTAATTATCGAAGTTTTCCGGCTTTTTGTTCGAGTTTACTTACATTTTCCTCTATTTTCTGGTTTAATAGATCTAGACTAGATCCTAACTATGGAGAAATAATCCCCCCAAAAAATATCTAACACGTTAAACCTTCTCAACCCTTTGGCAAATAAATAATTTTTCTTAAAAATCATAATCCTGTTTTCTAATATATTTGACAGTTAAAGATTTGAAAACGATTTTTTATTTTTAATATTTATTTTCTTGATTGTCTTAAAAATCACCATCCTTTTTTCTAATATATTTGACCCTTAAAGATTTGAAACGATTTTTGATATTTATTTTCTTGCCATGACTATTTTCATTCCGATAATTTATGTGTTTATTACTTCTAGGAGACAAATGAGTGAGGACAAGATAAGTACGGACGCAAAGAAGAAACGAGAAAAGGAGATTGAAGAAGAAGAGAAAAAGGAAAAAATAAAGGTTAGGTCTTATATGAATTTGCTTTCACGAAAAGAAATTATCCTTAGCAGTAAGCCCCAGCACTTAAAAATAAATAAATAAAGAAAGAAATAAAGAAATAAAGAAACAAAGAAATGAGACCATGCATTTCTGATTCTAAGAATGCCCTTTAAACCTAAATCATCCTTGTCGAAAAACTGAAATAGTCGAGTCGATTTTCATATAAAAAATTAATTATTTCTGCTTCTTCCTCCATTTGGTTTAATGCACATTAAATGGCCTTTTCATACTTAAATTCGGTAAATTTCTTTGACAGTCTCTTTAAATATGTTTTTACCAAGGAGTTTGAAAAGAACTGGGAGGAATCGAGACAGGGAAGAGTTGACTCATGGATGACCTTTACAAAAGCAGCACGCCAGGCAGCACGGGACGAAGAGGAGACTGGGAAAATTAAGAAAAAGAAAGAAAAAAAGGATAAAAAGTTTTCTCCTATTGGATTCCGACCTCCCAAACCTAAACCTGAATCCAGATAAAGCTTCGCAACCTGAATCCAATAAACCTGTATATAGTTGTTAATCCTTGATGTAGATAAATACTCTAGTGAACTTGTACATTTTATCTAGTTTACTGCTAGATTTGATCTAGTATACTGCTAGATTTGATCTTGTTTACTGCTAGATTTGATCTAGTTTAGTGCTAGATTTGATCTTGTGTTCTTCTAGATTTGATCTAGTGTACTGCTAGATTTGATCTAGTTTACTGCTAGATTTGATCTAGTTTACTGCTAGATTTGATCTAGTTGACTGCTAGATTTGATCTTGTGTTCTTCTAGATTTGATCTAGTTTACTGCTAGATTTGATCTAGTATACTGCTAGATTTTATCTAGTATACTGCTAGATTTGATCTAGTATACTGCTAGATTTGATCTAATTTACTGCTAGATTTGATCTAGTATACTGCTAGATTTGATCTAGTTTACTGCTAGATTTGATCTAGTATACTGCTAGATTTTATCTAGTATACTGCTAGATTTTATCTAGTATACTGCTAGATTTGATCTTGTATTATGCTAGATTTGATCTAGTATACTTCTACATACGATCTAGTGTACTTCTAGAGTATTCTTGTAAAAGTGAATTAAATAATGTTTCGTAAGTTTAAATTTAGTTTTCAGATGAATGCCCGGACTTAAACCCTGAATCAGCAGAGTCCAGTATCAAGGTTTCACAAATCGTTATGAAGTTATAAAATAATCAGTTTTACCGCCTTTTGACCAACATTACCGGATACTGACTCATGATTCCCCAAACAGATAAAACGATAAAATACAACTACTTTTTTAGGAAAATAAAATTAACTTAATCACGGGTTCCCTCGACCAATTTTACCCTTGGTAAAGTATAATTCCCTAACATCCCTGTATTTTTATTCTCTTTTGAAAATAATTAAAAAATGCGTAAAGACTACCTTTTGTGATAGAGTGTCTTTGGAATCAGATACCATTCCGACCTTTTTACTGTCAATAGCTTGTAACATGGACGGGGTTAGTTTTGGCTTTCCACTGGTCCAAACTTACTTTATACCATTTTCCTGAAATGATACTAATAACATTAGGTTGAAGAGGAGCAGGTTGTCTTTTAGTACAAAAGAAATAGTACAAATAATAATGTCATTTTTATGATGTTAAATAAATAGTTTCCTACATTTTTAAAAATAAATTCTTTCACTCCTTTACACGATTTGTGCGTTAGAAGAAAAATCTAAAAATTGCCGCATAGAGTTTACTAAGAACCAATCAGCACGTAGAACCAAGAAATAAGATGGCTAAAACCTACGACTATCTGTTCAAGCTTCTCTTGATCGGAGACAGTGGAGTTGGGAAGACGTGTGTTCTCTTCAGGTTTTCAGAAGATGCATTCAACGCAACCTTTATCTCAACTATAGGTAAAAAAACAATATTTTACATTTTTCACAAGGGGGGGGGGGGGTTTCTCGATTATCTGGTTTTTAGGGTTGTTTTGTCAGTGTTACTTAGGTATCTTTATATTTTCGATGTTGTTTCGTCGCTCTCGACGAATCAGAAAATAATATCAATAATCCCAACAATAAAACTGCTCTACCTCCTTTGTTCCCGGTGATACAAGTCTCGTAACCTCGGCTGGATCGCGCTCAAAGATCTATCCATCCATTGTGCTGCAATACATCACGATTCTCAGGTTCAAAACTTAAAAATATAGATCTAATCAAATTCACATATATGTCTTAAGACTACATCTACTAAAAAAGCTTACATATTATTTCCGTCAATATATATAAAACATACCATCTTTGTCCAACATATCACGCACTTCAACACTGATCATGAACAACCCCGTACCCTTTAACCATCTTCTTACCATAGTTCTCCTCCGTCCTCAGAACAAATTCGGTAGGCTCAGTCTAAACCAACAACTATCTCTTCATCTGAGTCTGAAATGAGCCGGACTTTGAGCAACTTTCTTTACGTAACTTGCAACATTTTTTGGACATCGTAATTCGTATAAATATACCAAAAAAGAAGCACAACCGCTAAAAAACTAAATGATTTGAGACCGACGTAAAAAAGGATCCACGAGTAGCCGGTGCTTATACTAGCGTTCGACTGTTATTTCACTCTGATGCACTACGTGAACTTTCTTGGATCCATCTCTAAAAATGTTTGGTTTGGTTTCTCTCGGATACTCCTTCCGGTCCCTGGATTCACCAAATCCACTTAACACTCCCCCCCGGGGGAAAGTATCCGGAGAAAAAACCAAAACCAAGAAGGGAAAAAATAAAGCTAACGAAATTCAAGTCCGGTCTCATTCCACTCAATCATCTTACTCTGGGTTTCATGATCAATATTGATGGACAAAACAGACAGGATAAATAAAGTACACAATATCAGAACAAACGATATATATTTATTAACAACACAAATTCTTTAAATGATCTCTTAACCTTTTTTATAAAAATTTAAAATATTAATTTTTTAAAATGTAATTTTCGTGTACTATATAGAGATCCTTGATTTACGACTATGATAGGGTAACATAATACTTTATCAACAAATAAATTCCACTGAACATTTTTTCGAACATATTGGATCAATCACGATCATGGAATGGGTATGTAATCAAGTTTAAATAATCTATTTCCATGGCTTGGACGTAATGGGAAAAACCTCATATGGCTTAAACTCTCAATAAAACATTTCAACATATGGAAGTAAAGGATCATAATAAGATTTACACCAAGGATCTATCCGCTCCTTGATCCATCTATATAATATCCCCAGAAAAATACGTCTCCAGATCAAACTCATCGTCTGAGTTCTTGTAGGTTCCAGATTCGATGATCTCATCATATGTCCTAACTGGAGTAGGAGCTCTCATCCCTTTCTTCTTACCCTTGTTCTTTCTCTTCTCCGGTATGATCTTCCTGCATGAAGGTTTCGGATCATTTATTCCTACAAGATCAGGATCTTCATCTGACTCTATCTCGATCATCACAATCTCTTCAGCAGGGTCTATCATACGGATCTCTCGAGTCTCTGCATACTGCTCTACTACCTGATCACCCTGAGCTGATCCCTGAACGTCCTTAGGTTGATCCTCCGCCGATACCTGGCCTGGTGGCTCTGCAGGATCCTGGGACTGTATATTGATCCTCTTCGCTCCAGCTCGTGATCTAGATCTAGAACGCATTCTCTTCCGGCCTCTCCTTCTCGGTTTCCAATCTGGCAACCTGGGGAGCTCTTCCAGACATAAGGTTTGATCTTCATCATCCTTAGCCCGGAGAACTGACCTCAGGTGTTCACACCGATCCTTCCTTGCCTTATACATCTCCCGGGATTTTCGAGCACGTTCTTCTTCCTCAATTAACTGACACGCAATGTTGTCAATAAAGGCAACATCCAACTCTTTGATCCTCACAGCTTCCTTGTTATACAATCTCCGGTATATCATTCTTAGACCCTGATAAGTTCCGTACAAAAACTTCCTGAAGGCTTCATCCTTGGTTAATCTCTCGAACACGTATTGTATCTTGTGAGGATTCATCCGAGCCCATTCAAAGATAACGGGTTTCATCTTCCTATCCTGCTTCTTCACCAGTTTACCTATGGTTCCAGGTTTGATCTTCTCAGGGTTCATGAACAGGGGGGGAACAGGGCATGATCTGGGTCGGAGCAATCCATAATGGAATGGAGCAGGTTCAAGGAAGTTGCACTCCAGGATAGCCTCCTTACTGAGGCCAAATCTTGCATACTCTTTGAATGAGTTTGTGACCTCCCTCATGGTTACCTTTAATCTCCATTTGAACTTAGACTTCTTTAATACCTGTGCCTGCTCCAAGAATTTCTCCCTTGCCTGGAGGAGGTATCTGCAACCTCCGTGTTTTCTGTTCATGTTTAGTTCTTCAATGCCAGGGGATAGTATATCCGTTTCAGTGTACCATTTATATCCTAATAGTTTGATGGTTTTGCCGTCATTACTTGCCTTATCTCCTGGGGGGGCTCCGCTCTTGACTACGTATTTTAAATTGAAACCTGCTTGAGCTAATAGTTCCGATACTTCTCCAACCTGCTTCTCTCGTAGTTCTATTGATTGTGCACCTGACACAATATCGTCTACATACCGATCTCGGTTCAGACAGCTAGTTGCATTTGGGTGGGAGTTCTTACCTTGATTTGCCAGTTCATCTAATGCATATCCTGCCTGACCTCCTGTTGAAATTACTCCGTACCAAGCTCTTGTCATGACATATATATCTGGTTCCTTACCTTGCTCTAATCCTTCGCTAAATAAGAATAATGAGTATGGATAAGCTGATTCATCCAGGATAAGTTGGTTGTATAATTTTGAAACGTCACTTACCCAGGTGTATTTCATGGTTCTGTTCCTTGCAACGATATCCAGGATTCTGGATATCCTGTTCTCACCTTTAGGTAGAATGATGTTGAGGCCAGTACGGGTGGGATCTACCACTAGCCGGACAGGTGTACTTAACGAATCATCTTTTATAACACTAAACCAGGGATAAAAATGGCGAAATGGCGCATTTAGGATCATTTTTTGAGTAGTACCTGGGAGGTTATCTAGCTTAACCATGAATCCTCTCTCAACCAGTTCAGCATGAGCCCTTCTTATACCTTCCTTTTCAAATTCTGACTTCTTACATTGAGTGAAATAAATACTTTTGGCTTGTCTTAGGTTGCTGTTACTACTATGCTTATCAGTTAAAAATACTACAGGATCCTTTACAAATGGTAACTTATTAATAACTCTCCTATTTTGCATATCTACGGTAATACTTCTTTCAATGAGGTCTTGCTCTACTGCCTCCTGTAAGGAAATAGCATTTAACCTGGGGGATCTCTTACATGTAATGCATTTTGCGCATTCATCACATCTGTACGTTACCATCTCGCTTGCAGGATTATCATCATTTATGAGTTCTCTCATCTTTTGAATGGGCATGCCCGTCTTGAATACCCCGCAAAAATGAGCTTCATGTCCTTCATCTAATATCATGGGGGGTTCTTCAATTTCAATTACCTCCCCCCCCACCTCTAAAACATCTTCTTTGTTTATGGGATGGGGATGAATCGAAATATTGAAGCGTTTATCAATGGTGATCGAGAATGGTCTTTGTCTGTCCTCCCACCAATTTCTCTCAGTATCTTGCTTTATGTGGAATATTGCATTTAAAGTGTCAGCTTTAGCCCCTCCATTTGCACTAGTGAAAGATTTATGGGGCCCCGCAAAGATCAATCTTGAACCCCAAATGTCAGTAAAGGGGCTCTTATAAACTGCAACGCCAGATGGGAGAATTTTCAGGAGAATGGGACTAAGATTAGTATTCTTTATTCCAATGAGTAGCTTGACATCAGATCCCCCGATATAAGGGGGTGTTGGTTCAGAGGCTAGTATAGAATCAGTGTTAGTCTTAAATTCTGTAATAATCTCAGATAAATCGTATTTCTTAAATTCAGACGTGACATTATCTATACCCTGGCAAGTTAACTCATAATAATTTCCAGATTCATTAGGGCCTAAGCAACATCGGTACGTACCATATTCAGTTCGTATCGATGATCCCCCTACAACAGTTAGCTTCGATGGTTTCCTAGAGATTGACTGTAAGTTTAGGCCAG